AAAACTCCCTGATGAAGTATTACAAACGAACAGATTGAATTTTATTTATCATTAACGGAAACATTTGACAAAGATGTATTAATTTTTCCTTAAACCAGTTATTCAAAAATATATCCTATGATATTTACCACGTGAACTACGATGAAAATAAAATAAGAAAGATATGGTATGTAATTTTGTTTTTTTTTTGCGCAGGGGTTCCTTGAGACGTGTCATTTATTTTAAGGGTTACGCAAGGGTTAAAATGTTGAGAAGCGCTGCACTATACGGAAGTTCACAATTTAGCTAGTCTCTCAAAGAATGCAATTCTTCAATGGATCTGAAAAAAAAAAGAAAAGAAAAAGCTATGCTAAACGCTATTAAGATTCTCAAGTTTTTTTTTCTTATAGATGCCGCAAGTATCACAGTAATTCCAGTGGTTTCCTTCCTCCCCGCCACTTCCGTTGTTGAAGCATTTTACCTCCAAAACCTGAGCTGCGCAAAATGATTTCTTTTATAAACCACATCACTTTGACGCCTTTCTTCCCCACCCATATATTATGGCCATTTTGTTTGAAGTTCGTATTTTCTAGATTCCAAATGAAAGCTCAGAAATCTTTCAAATTATTTCAGTGAAATTTTCAATTTAAACCCGTAACCCATTATAGTCATAGGGACAACGGAGCTCAACCCTTTCCAGGCTGCTTTTGAATTAAGAGTTTTTACTTCTTCTCAACCGGTTGCCACCCTAAGCTATAAGACCCAGTCAGCCCGGCTATGTACCCATAGTTAGAGGGAGAAGACATACATTTCCCAAGAGTATTACTGAAATTTGAACTCGGCTCTCTGATTTCCCAATCCAATCCGCTATCTATTACCCCACCATGTCTCCATATTTAGTGTCAGTTTAAAGTGATGCTAGCAGAATACGGGGATATCTTATTGCATGGATAGACAGATATGACGAGGGCCAGAATTAAATCACGTATCTCTGCAGTCATTGCAGATAGGAGTGTCATCGTACCGTAAGCAAATATCAATCTTCAATCTGTGCAAACCATAGTAATAGATATTCGTAAACAAATGGCGAAAGAAGGCGTTCGTTGTAGATAACAATGTGTGCTTGTCGGGCTGTTTCTTTTTCGTTATCGACGACGAATGAATAAAGTATTCAATGTTGTCAAAAAATGTAGTGTTTGTCGAAACGTCAAGGTTGATGTGCCAGTATTAGACAATTGGAGATTTTCAATTTGTTCAGCTATAAGAATGTGTTGTCATTGAGATGTTTATGGGGTCACCATTATAAATAATGTTCGCATCCAAAAATCTTATCAATTACCTTAATTTCTCGAAAATAATACACATTTTTTACTGTAAATTACAAGTGATAGTATGAGTGCGTACTATAAATAGGTTTAAAAATATTTTTTCGTTATTGATTTATAATAATAAATACGTACTTGCTGTTCTAAAATAAGAAAGATATTATCCCAATTTTCATTTTAAATCCAACAATAATAACTGTAACATTTTTATCAATAAATTTATGTTTATCAGTAACCGCATTTTTTATTAGGCAAATATTTTTTTAAATCTATATAAAGGACAATTTCGAAGAAAAGAGGATATCAAGTTAACAATTTATTGAAATTTTAATTTTCATTATCATCATCATCATCATCACTCTCTATTATAGAATCAATATCTAAATTGTTATTAAACAACTTATCATTCACAATATTATCTTCGCTCATCTCAAAATTATCTTCGGCCTCTTCATTCTCTTGCCAAAGGATGTCATCTTCAGAGGTACCAATGGCTGTCGTGAAACAACACTTCTTGTCATATTTACCGCATGGTAATTGTCAACATTATTTTAACCGCTTAGTTTTGATTTTATTCTGTCAAGGTCGAAATAATGTCTTCGTAATTATTTTTTTGTTTTTGGGGGGCTTTTTTGATAAAATTTATATATGCGTTTTATACATAGGGATAGATATATTTCTTAATTTTTGGTTCATTTTGGGGTTGCGTATTATTTATGGGTTCGTATTATTTTCGAGAATGTATGGAAATTAGAAAATATCATATTGATGTCAACTAAATTTATACACTGCATTTACAGTGAATAAAAAAAATACAAGGGAAAAAAGCAAAATGGTGGCGTGCATAAGAACAAAATAGAAACATTTAATATAAACTCCGAATTCATGCTCATAGGAAGTAAATACAGGATGACCCCCAAAAAATGGGAACTTTTTAACAATCCAATAAAACCAAGAGTGATGGAAGAAAAATATTTTATTCCTAGTAATTGAAACCTTAAAACATGCCATTTAAGAAACAATGACGGAATTTTCATTTTTTTAAAAATTACGTCCTGTAGATGGCGTCCTCCTGTACGAATGCATTCTTGAAATCTGCTGTTGAGATTCCTCATTGACTGCTGCAACATCTCAGCTGGGATACTGTGAATTTCATCTTGAATACTAAATGGCGAAATGTTTACTTGCCCAAGGTTACTGTCTCGCAGTGTTGCCACTTGCTCATGTCTGGCAATAGGCACTTCAAAAATTCCCGTTTTTTGGGGTCACCCTGTACAATATTCATCAACAAAGCTGATAAAGCAAATAGTATACGAAACTAAGTTCTCGAGAAAAATGAATTATAATATTTCAGTATTTATCAACAACAGTTTCATCAAGCAAAGAGAATGTAAATATGTTCACAGCAGGAGAAAATGCACCATTTCAGTATTTATTGGTAACTAACTGATAAATAGAATGAAGAAACTTCGAGAACTATGTAAATGTCATTAAAGTAAGAGTAAGGTATTTAATTAAATTTAGTTAAACCAGAATGTTTCTTATCATGCTTTCTTTTTGATATCATCTCCTTTCAGGACGTAGGCGATTTTTTTCGAAGGCGCCTTTTCTTTATTAGCCGTGAATTTTTATTTCTATTTGGAAAAGGTCGTAGATTGACTTTCTGTTGCTTTTATTTTACACAATTTTGAATTCAAGTTGTCCTTCGTTTAGACTGGCAGCCAGTATAGGCGAGAAGGTCCAGTCCATCCTGCTCTTTTTCCTAAGGGTCAGTCAATTATGTGATACACATTTAGGCGATCATGTATCTTTCGATACATGACTGACGAGGCAGATATTTTTCCCACAGTAGGTTGCCATTTCTTTCTTCGGTTGACCAGAAATAAATGGCAGGACAGACCGGATTCTATAGCCCTAGCTATTTACCCAAGGGTATTAGCACGTAAGTGAATGTAAACCGGAATTCGAAGTCTGTTCTACGATTTCTCAAACCAAGCCGCTACCATTACTCCACCGTGCCTTCCTAAGGGTACCAGTCCTAAATTCCTGTTTAATCTTAGAATGGTTGTAATGTGGAAATAAATAAATGTACTGTTTGATAAATAACTGGAGCGTCCACCCAAATACGAATATCGATTAATAACAACTTTTTTTGTGATAAAAAAAAATCTCTTGGATTAATAGAAAAATTCATTAATTTCTCTCCACCCGACTCTCTCTCTACACAAACACGCAAATATATATATATATATTAAGAAATGGACAAAATCCGACAATTTATTTATTAAAGACATTTTTATGTTTAACGTTCTTTTTTTTATAGATACAAGTATTTAAGTAAATGCTCTGTGTATAATAAACAGTATTAAATAACATTTACCGGCCTGAATGTCCGAGAAATTTTCATAGAAAATATTCGTCCTTTGACAGGATTCGAACCTGCATCCTATACTGAACTGTCATTTACGCTGACGTGCCTTACCGTCTCGGCCACAAAGGAGAGTTCGGTAGGCAAGGTCGAATTTACTGCTTATAAACTTCAATCTTCCATGAATCTCGTACATTCATAACTGCTCTGGCGTATCAAATGTAAACAAATGACGTCATATATTAAGAAATGGACAAAGTCCGACAATTTCTTTATTAAAGACATTTTTATGTTATCTATAAAAAAGAACGTTAAACATATATATTTATATAAAACTACATGGATCTACTTGGAACAATAACAATCGATAATTACTCCGTAAGCTTAACAGAAGGATCGTGAGGAAGCCGATCAAAAACGAAAAATGACATGTTCATCATTAATTAATCATAGCTAAGGTTCGGAAGCACATAAAAGATTGAAATAAAGTTCAAATATAAATATATATTATTTCAGGATCATCTTCCAACTTATTCAAGATGATCTTCGCCCTCTCTAACCTTCTAAGATTCTATCCTGGAGTAACAAGGTGCCTCACATGCTTTACGTATTATTTCATTTCATAGTCTTTTCCCCTGCTCTTCGGACTTTCATAGTAGAAACACCTCTCTAAACGTCTTATGGGTTGGATCTTTTCTAATTGATCTCTTTAGCTCTAAGTTGAAATGATGATCCTTCTTGCTGTTGGTACCTTCTGATCCATTTTTCCTCTCTACTGTTCCCTCTTTTTTAAACTTATTCACGGTTCTCTTGGTAGTTCTTGAATGGACTTTGAAGATGAAAGCTAGAGTATGAGTGTTGGTACCATTATTCAAGACCACAATGATTTTTTCCTCTCACCATTGCTCATTTTTGAGTCTAAAACGATTTTAACCTCTTTTTCAAGCTGAATAACTGAAAGGATTTTTCAGTTATTCTTACGACAAATGGTGTCAAGATGCTTAAGTGTCTTATCTGAATACTTGGAAAAGAGAAACTGAATTAGTTTAGTGTTTTTTTTTTTTTTTTTAGATATTAAACATTTTGCGTGATGGACAATTATGCTGTTATAGATTTGGACAATTTTACGGTTACATAATTTTTGACAAGTTTGCTGTTACACGATTTGGACAACTTTGCTGTTACATGATTTGGACACTTTTACTCTTACTCCCGGTAGAGTGATTTTCCAGGGCTGACAGTATGGAACTCCCAGTGAGAATCGAACTCACTACTCAGTAGCAACTTTTCTAGCGAGACAAGCTTCCGCCTCCAGGTGCCCATCTTACTCCCGGTATATATATATAGATAGATAGATGTGATGAGGCAGATAAAATTAGGTTTGATAGATAGACATATATGATCAGACTCATTGATAGATAGATAGATAGATAGATAGATAGATAGATAGATAGATAGATGTGATGAGGCAGATAAAAGTAGGTTTGAGAGATAGATAGATAGATAGATAGATATGATCAGACTCCTTGATAGATAGATAGATAGATAGATAGAGAGATAGATAGATAGATAGATAGATAGATAGATGTGATGAGGCAGATAAAAGTAGGTTTGAGAGATAGATAGATAGATAGATAGATAGATATGATCAGACTCCTTGATAGATAGATAGATAGATAGATAGATAGATAGATGTGATGAGGCAGATAAAAGTAGATAGATAGATAGATGTGAACAACCCCATTCATAGATAGATAGATAGATAGATAGATAGATAGATAGATGTAATGTGATGAGGCAGATAAAAGTATGTATGTATGTAGATAGATAGATAGATAGATAGATAGATAGATAGATAGATAGATAGATATGAACAGACTAATTCATAGAAAGAAACAAATAAGTGGTGAAAGGAAGAAAGAGAGGAGAAAAGAAGGAAACAAATATGAATTAGAAAGTCAGAAAGAAAGAAAGAAAGAAAGAAAGAACGGTCGATTAGCAAGAAAAAAGAAAGGGAGATATATTTTGAAAAGAAAGAAAGAAAGAAAGAAAGAAAGAAAGAAAACTACTACACATATAATGAAAGAAAGAACAAGTTTTCAGGAATAGATAGAGGGAGGGAAAGGAAACCAAAACCGCCTTGTCTCCAAACAGCGGGAGGCAAACACCGACCGCTGAGTGTCAAGGTCGCTCTTTTCCTTGAAACTACGTTAATCTCGAGCGGCTCAAATATTTGGTTGTCTTTCTTTCTTGTCTTTTTCTTTCTTTCTTTCTTTCTTTCTTTCTTTCTTTTTTGCTTTCGTTCTTTCTTACTTTCTCTTTTTACTTTATTATAAATGTTCCTCCTATTTTTCAGAGTCATGCCTCATCTAACAAACAAAATGTCGAGAGGCTGAAGTGCTCGCGTGATGAAAGAAAAGAAAAGCTGTTTGAGCCGAGAACAGAGAGCTACCTGATATTTGGCGGCTAATGCTTTCTTCTCTTCTTCCTTCTTCCATGGCACTTTCCGTCGGTTTTTCATTCCCCACCCCATTGAATTTCAGTTGCACCCTTATTCACACAACTTCCTTAAGACTATTTTTCGCTTCTCTCGTTTATTTTTTGTCTTCAGTATTATATATTCCTCTGTTTTTTTTTTCTCTTTATTTCTGAAACGGTCATCCTTTTTGAAGTTAGGTATTGCTATAATTCTTATTTTAGGTGATCTGTTCCTTCAGGACGTTGGTGATGACAGCCACTCACAACTTCTTTTCTTTAACACCGATTTATACTTTACTATCACTTTATCAATAGTAATCCTTTTAAAAATCTGTTTAAGAAGGTCATTTGGTATGTTCCGTGAGTGTCAAAGTCACTGAGACTTAATTAGTCATTATGTGTCTTAGAACTTTCAGTTGTCTCTTTCTGATTCAAAGTAGAAGCGCCCTTTTGCTTTTGGTTCGTTGCTCACATTCTCCGTCTATGGTTTGCTCAGTGTCATTCTCCGTCCACGGTAGGCTCAGTGTCATCCTCCGTCCACGGTATGATCATTGTCATTCACGACCCATAATATGCACAGTGTCATTCTCCAACCATGATATGCTCAGTGACATTCCCCGTCCATAATGTGGTCAGTGTCATCTTCCGTCCATGGTATGCTCAGTGTTAGTCTCCGTCCATGGTATGCTCAGTGTCATTCTCCGTCTATAGTTTGCTCAGTGTCATTCTCCGTCCATGGTTTGCTCAATGTCATTCTCCTTCCACGGTATGCACAGTTTCATTCTCCTTCCATGGTATGATCAGTGTCATTCTCCGTCCATGGTAAGCTCAGTGTCATTCTTCGTCCATGGTTTGTTAAGTGTCATTCTGCTTCCATGGTATGCTCAATGTCATTCTCCTTCGACGGTATGATCAGTGACATTCTCCGTCGACGGTATGATCTATGTCATTCTCCGTCCACGGTAAGCTCAGAGTCATTCTCCGTCCACGGTAGGCTCAGTGACATTCTCCGGCCATGATTTGCTCAGTGTCGTTCTCCTTCCACGGTATGCTCAGTGTCATTCTCCGTCCACGATAAGCTCAGTGTCATTCTCCTTCCACGGTATGCTCAGTGTGATTCTCCGTCCGCGCTAAGCTCAGTCATTCTCCGTCCATGGTTTGTTCAGTGTCATGCTCCGTCCAAGGTAGGCTCAGTGTCATTCTCCGAATATGGTTTGCTCACTTTCATTCTCCTTCTATGGTTTGCTCAGTGTCATTCTGCGTCCACGGTATCATTAGTGTCATTCTCCGTCCATGATTTGTTCAGTGTCATTCTCCGTACACGATAGGCTCAGTGTCATTCTCCGAACATGGTATGATCAGTGTCATCCTCCGTCCACGGTATGATCAGTGTCATTCACGACCCATAATATGCTCAGTGTCATTCTCCAACCATGGTATGCTCTGTGTCATTCCCCGTCCATAATGTGGTCAGTGTCATCTTCCGTCCATGGTATGCTCAGTGTTAGTCTCCGCCTATGGTATGCTCAGTGTCATTCAAGGTCGATGATATACTCAGTGTCATTCTCCAAACATGGTATGCTCAGTGTCGTTCACCGTCCCTGATATACTCAGTGTTATTGTTATTATTGCATAAAGCTTCTATTACCAGACATTTTATTCTATTACTCCAAACGTTTGTCCTCGTACCGCTAATTACATGATGTACTAAACATATTTATCTTCCTTATTCAATTCTCAATTCTTTAATGTATTATATCGGACATACTATTTCATCATCATCATAATCCTTCGACTTCCCTATAGTTGGTCGGAACTCCATTGACAATCTCTTTCCACGCTGTCCGGTCCTGTATTGCTATTCCCAGATCCCCAATGTCCAACACTGGGTTCCGAATTATGGTGTCTGGGAAAGTCAAATTTCCTGAGAAGACACTTCCAGAAGGATGCCATAGGAGTAAGGATGAAACGATTTCCCTGTCCGTTCATAATACATACTATTTAATGACACACATGTTGCGCAGGATTTTAGGTGAATGTGCGTGCTCAATATGTAAACAAAAAAGATAGAAGCAGAGAAAAATGCGAGTTTCTACCACGGATGTTTATTTCTTTTAAAGCTCAGGTCAGCTCTGCGCTTAGTTGGAACATCCAATTAACGTACTTCAAGAGTAGGGCTGCATTACATTTACCGGCCAAGAATGTTCGATAAATTTAGCAGATAATATGCGCTCTCAACAGGAATTGAACCTGTATTCATATACGTAAACCGTCATTTGATCTGACGTGTTATACCATTTAGCTACAGAGACATGGTCGATCGATCGAGAAAAAATTTCGAAGATTGTGTGTTTAAAAACAGTAATAATGATCTCCGTACTGGAATACAGGTTCGATTCCTGCCGAAATTCTACGCATATTTTCTACGCAATTTCTCTAACATTCAGGGCAGTAAATGTAATTAATACTGTTTAATTAAAAACAGAGCATTTACTTAAATAAATTATATCTATAAAAATAATGTATAAACAGAATATATATATATATAGACAGAGAGAGAGAGAGAGAGAGAGAGAGAGAGAGAGAGAGAGGAGGCACGGTGGAGCAGTGGATAGCGGCTTGGATTGACGAATCGCAGAGCCGAGTTCGAATTCCAGTCGAATCCATTACATTCACTTACGTGCTAATACCCTTGGGAAAGGTATATATCCTCTTCATCTCCCTCCAGCTATGGGTAAAATAGCAGGACAGACTAGGTTCTATAGCCTTGGATGGCAACTGGTCTAGGAGAAGGAAACTCTGAATTCAAAACCTGCGGAGGGTCGTTAGGGAACCTTGTGGCATGCATTCGGTGCACCAGGTTTCTGTATTCGTCCCTCCAAAAAGTGTGGATGGTCCTGCACGAGGCCTTCACCACTATAAACAAATCTCATGTGCCGGTGTCGGGATGTCGGTTTCCTGGGGACTTATCGGCCTGACCCTCATACGTCGAACGCGACGTGAGAGTCGATTATATATATATATATATAATTAAAATTCTTATTGAATACGATTAAACACTAATATTCCATGGTCAAAATTTATTCCATTGGAATCGAATTTGATCCAATTCTGATGACCTATTGGATCGTATTTACGATTCCAATGGAATAAATTATGACCATGGAATATTAGTGTTTAAGCCTTTTTTATTATATCCTTACTCTGTCCTGGACATTGAGTTCTACCTGGATTCTTCCTCTTGAATTTTTTTTTTCTAAAAAATATACATATATGGGTATTTATATTTATATATTTTGCATATGTATGTATTTTTCCACTAATATCATATATATATATATATATATATATATATATATATATATATATATATATATATAATTGATTTAAAATATTTTAAATTAGTTAATTTATAATACTTATGCTCTGTAAATTTACATTGAGCAATGATTTGTAAAAATAAATTAAAATATGTTTTTGTAAAAATAATATTTATAATATGTTCTTGTAATATAATGTAAAATATTTATGCTCTGTAAATTTATATTAAGCAATGATTTGAAAAAATAAAAATATCAATTAAGAACACCGGATTATATATCTTACTGTTCTTTCTTTTTTATTATAATATATATATATATATATATATATATATATATATATATATATAATATATATATATAAAGAAATATAGTCTTAAGGTGTGCTATATTTATGGAATAAAGTGCTCAATATCAGAGATAGGCATTGTGTGTAAATCTAAAGTTTTCATAGATGCAATATTGCATATAGCATGAAACAGACTGTCGCCCATATAGATGACTTCATGTTTTTATTTATATATATATATATTTATATATATATATATATATATATATATATAGCACATTTTAAAATAACCCCCGCGCACGCACCCCCACACGCACAAACACACACACATATATATATAAGAGGTCTAATCAAAACGTATCTGGTACTGGTGCTACAAATAAGAAAACTAAAAAACATCAATTCTGCATTTAATTTTCTTCGAATGATTCATCGTCTGAAGCTACACATTCTATTCTATCGTTTCCACTGATGGAAGCATTACCGGAAGTCTTTTCGTGGCTGGGGGTAACCAACAGCTGTTCTCTTGCATTTTCTTTGATTTCCTCGGAAGTCTTGAAATCGTCTAGTGCGATTTGATTTTTGAAGAGGAAAAAGCCACAATGCGCGAGATCTGAGGAATTCGGTGGTTGTCGGAACTGGGTAATGTCGTCCTAGGCCAAAAACTGCTGCACAAGCCGTCGTCACTGATGGAACCTCTGTTGTGTGATGAGGTGACCACACTAAACACAATTTCCTTCCAAGAACCGTCACAAACAACGGAAGTTAAAAGATAGTGTGTATACTCGACACCGTTTAAGTTCAATCTCTGCCAAGCGGCTTCAATCTGTGTAGTTCACCCCCGATACCACAGAAACCACAGTCTCAATACTTGTTGATCAGACCTCTTATATATATATAGGGACAAATTGGGCACCTCGAGGCGGTGTAATGGTTAGCAAGCTTGTCTTCTTAGAACAATTACGATTGAGTATTGAGTTCGATCCTCACAAGAAGCCTTGAGCCGCATCAACACTACGCTTGGAAAATCTTTATTGTGACAGGTACGCTTCAAGGTTGAAAAAAATATTTAAAGTCTTTTCTTGCGCTGTTGAAGTAGCCAGGATCAGGCAAATGCGAAATTAATGGGAAAATCAGCTTATTATTTGAATTGTGATGACTTTCTCTGTTCATACTCTTTATATCTACATACGATTTTGATTTTGAGTACACTTTTCCATAAATATAGCACATTTTAACCCCCCGCCGCACAGACGCGCGCGCACACACACACACGCACACACACACATATATATATATATATATATAGTCAGTTTTCATTTCAGTAAAGTCTGATGATCCAGAGTCCTTTAAAAGGGTTGTGGTGAAATAACTTATTACATGGAACCTTGAACTGGTCTGTTTTTTATTCAAACATATATGCTCTGAATTTACATTGAGCTCTCTGGATATTATCCTCCTTGGGTCTACCCATACGGATTACCTAGTTTTGCATAAACTATATATATATATATATATATATATATATATATATATATATATATATATATATATATGTATGTATATATATATATATGTATATGATGATGATGATGATGATGATGATGAATTCTCTCGTCGTTTGAGGTATGAGTGTCCTTCAGTTCAGTTTTTATGTTTCGTATGAGACAATCATCCTGCACGGGATTTGCAAACAAGTCCACATGAAGGACCTGCTGATAGGTTGACCATCATATGAGCTGATATACTGACCCAAGATTTAGCGTTGGTTCTTTATTCCCTAAAGAGGATTTCTTTTCAAAGTCATTTCTACCTCGGTGGCAGGTGTTTTTCCAGTTTGCTCGGTTTACAACAGCGAGTTCTATAGGGATGTTTGCAGCATTTGAATTGTATTCAAGTTTGTCCTTGAAGAGTAACCAAGGACGGCCTACATTAAGCTCGGCATCCGATCATCACTCATTTTGAGGACATAACCAGCCCATCTGAAGTGTGTTTGCATCAGAAAGGATTCAATACCAACGACAACACATTTGATAAAAGATCAGCGTTAGAGATTTTGCCCTGCTGCTTATAACCGCATGAAAAGCATCAAGTTGAATGATGCTTGTCCTGTATTGCGTCCAGAGATTCTGACCCATATATATATATATATATATATATATATATATATATATATATATATATATACAGACTCTCACGTTGGTTTCGATGTATGAGGATCTTACAGCTTATTGATTCAGTTATGAAAGCTTGTGCGATAATCTTAAGTATATATATATATATATATATATATATATATATAAAATCCAGTCGAGTCCATTATATTCACTTACGTGCTAATACACTTGGGAAAGGTGTGAATCCTCTTCTTCTCCCTCCAGCTATGGGTAAATAGCAGGACAGACTGGGTTCTATAACCTTGGATGGCAACTGGTCTAGGAGAAGGACAACTCTGAATTCAAAACCTGCGGAAGGTCGTTTGGGGACCTTGTGGCACGTAGTGCACCAGGTCTCTGTATTCGGCCCTTCGAAAAGTGTGGATGATCCTGCACGAACCCTTCACCACTATAATCAAATCTCATGTGCTGTTGTCGGGCTGCCGGTTTCCTAGGAGCTGATCTGCTTGACCCTAATACGTCGAATTCGACGGGAGAGTTGTGTACATATATTTATATATATATATATATATATATATATATAGAGAGAGAGAGAGATAGAT